TCGCCCGACTCCAAACTCGCCTGCAGCTCATCGATGACTTCGCCTGAAGGGGGTCGCCTCAACACCGACCTAACCTCGCCTGTAACCCCAAATCCAAGCTCGCCTACAAGGGGATCTCGCCAGCGGGGCTTCTCCGAACTCGCCAGTAGCTCGTCGCCTTCTCCCTGCTCATCCTCGCCAGAGCTCGTCGTGTTCGCCGCTGACAGGTATGGGTCTACACCCATTTCCAACACATTTGTGTTCAATAGAGAAAGTTCATGGGTGAGTGAGGAAGCAACACATCAAATTAGTCCATATAATATCGTTCAACTCGCACAAGGATGTCCATTCCATATTGCTTTCTTGCTGTAGTCTCAGACTTAACATTTAGGCAAAACTAACAGGTCAACCAACCAAACCGTTGAAACTTGTCTACTCTATTTCTGCATCATAAATTTAACTAAATATTCAACCTACATCATTAACTATTGATTTGGGATTGTCTTCAATATGAGACGATTAAACCCAAATTTTAACATGCCAAAATTTTATTTTATTTTATTTATTATTTTTTTTTTTGGGGGGGGGGGGGGGGGGCCAGTGGATCCTCAATTTATATCCAGATTTATCATGCTTTCTTGTATGTTCGTACAACTTTAGCCAACAGAAAGATTATTCCTTCATTACAAAGGGTTTTCTTCAGTTGAAGGGTTTAAATAATCTGAAAGAGCTTGCTCTTACCCTCAGTCTATGGTTTTGATATATCTTCGTATAGTGTACATATCTAGTTTGGAGTGAATGTGTCAAAACTCAAGCATACTTGGTGGTGGTTGAATTTGTTTAGTTTATTACTAATTATAAAGTATCAAGTTATGATCTCAATCTTATTCTTCATTTGAATCACAGCATGCTCGTCCTCAATAAGTAGCACCTCCATCGATCATGACTTGCGTGTCCCAAATGGAAGCTACATCCTCACAGCCAACAACTGTGTTCAATGCGGCTGTAGCTCTGACTCTTGGCAGTAAGTCTCTCTCTAATTTTTAAGTCTATGTATTCTTGTTTTGAATTAAATTTTCAGCTGATGACTTACTGCCAAAGTTTTTATGGATAATGTACTAGATTGGACTGCAAGCCGACCAAAGGAATAAATTCAGGGTCATGCCCTGCAGCAAAATGCGATAACATGGACATGGGCAACTCAACCTCCATCTCCGTTTGCGAGCGTTCAGTGTGTTCTTATGCCGGTTATAACAAGACTGCCATTTTCACCAACCTCACTACTCAATCATTGTGTGATAGTAAGCATATCTAAACTATTGCTTAATTGAGATATATCCCATGTATTATAGAAGGTTAATAATTAATTGTCCATCACATTTTTTGGTTAGCGCTTAGATCTGTAGATTTTCAAACAGAGTTATCTTGCTTTTTTCTGTACTCATGCTGTGGGCATATGTTATGTGATGTCAATGAGACACAATGAGATCCCTTGATATTTCATTATGGTGCAGACTGCAGAGGCACTCTGATTCTCCTAGGGCGTTGAATATACATCTCAGACGGTACAAGGAATTGTTTTTTTGTGTAACGAGAGCAAGATGTCCAAGGAATTTATCAACTAGAGAAAATAGATACAAAATATGAAGAGGAAGAGGGAGTAGGAGATACAGTAGGAAGAAAAGGAAAGATTATAAGACAAAAGAAATACTAAATAATATAGATTTCTGAATTGGAGTGTCATGTTGCTCTGGATCGAAGATCATACAATTAAGCAATGTAGGGTTTCTGCATCGCCGAGTTTTAGTTCCTCCAAATGTTCAAATAACCGAGAGATAACTTTGTTTGGACATAATTAGGATGTCAAAGTGCTAACAAAACGCTTAGTATAGGGTCCATTTGCAACTAATACTCCATTTCCTTTTTCTAGTATTTGAATCCTGATTCCTGTCTAAAATATTTTCGTTGTGTTTTGTTCTTGATGGATAAGACGGTGGAGCGCCAGGCCCTCTGCCCAGTGGTGGTTCTGCGCCGAGGCTGGGAATGTTAGGGCTGAACGGGATGGGGCTTCTCATATTTCTGCAAATGGCTTTGATCCTTGTTTGTGCTTTATAACAGGAGATTTGGTTAAATTAATTTGTTTCGTGGTTTCTCTTTTTTTTTTTTCCTTCTTTTTTGTTCAGCGTCGCGGTTGTACATGGTCCTTCCTCTTGTGAACTTAATTGTTGTGAGGTAATAATCTTTGAGTTGCAACCTATGTACGAACAATAAACTACTGGTTCAGATTAGCGTCAGCTATTGTTAGTTTCATACACTTTTCATGATTTAATAGTTTTAAGTTCGTGGGTTAAGTGGTTTCTGACGTGAAGAGCATTTGGATTTGTAAGAGCTAGGAAAGAATAATATTGTTATATGTTTGAATGAAGGGCTTTTTAATTTTTACTTATACACAGGTTTGGTGTCACCTAAAAAGTACCTTGGCAAAGGTACTTATGGCGCAGTCTATGCAATAATCCATACAATGCTTGTTTTCTCTACTTGTAGAGAGTAGCTGGACTGTTTTGAGAAAACATCAAACGGCAGTCTGGCACAGAAAACTGTTACTTTATTAGCACACCAAAGTTTCACCTTTCTTTTTTAAGGTTTTCCCCCCCTAGAAACCACTTCTAAAATAGGGCCATCCTACATATAAACCATATTTGATTCTTAATTTATATATAAAACTATCTTTAAAATAGATTCTTGCTGCAATCAACAACCTGCAGGTACTTTTAAGTCCAATTTTCTCGGATTCGTTATCATGATTAATTGTCAAATACCAAATATATTAGAGAGATGATCCTTACTAAAAGGTTAGTTGATGTCAACTTGCGAAAAAAAAAATTAACTGAATAATGGACCAAAGTGATTGATTGTAACGGAAAACTCTTTCAAGGCAGTTTATGTAGAAATTAAAAATGAAAGAATAGTTTCTAAAGAATGACCCTATTTTCAAGGTGGTTTTTCAGGGGGCAAAACATTCTTTTAAACATTGGTACGCTGATGTCATATTTTGATAACAAGTGCTATGCCCATGCTTACATGGATTGATTTGGTTTCTTTGAAATTTGAATTGTATTGAAATTTCTCTCTTTAGAGTACTCATTCAAAAAATAGATAACTTGAGCTAAAGAATTCCCCCCCTGTAAGAAGCTGTTTGGTTGGTTAATTAGTTTACCAAAAAAAAATGTAGAAACCTATTTTATGACTTGAAACCCATTTTAGAGTTTCTAGTGCTTGAAATGGGTTTCATAAAAAAAACTGACGTTGAAAGAACCATTCAAGACCTCTTTTGCATAATCATCAAACCAACAAAACATAGAAAATATAAACCTTTTGTAGCTTGAGATTTTCAAAGGTGATATGGCAAGCATAGAAACCAACTTCATCATTAAAGGAAAATACAAAATGACGTTGCAGATAATTTTTAACCCTATCCTTTTATGTAGTAAAATTTATTCTTCCACTCATAGAATATTAGATCCAGATTTTCATTTTTTATGGTGTCTCACTTGATTCTCCTGTTCATTTAGAATTTTAGTTATCATCTTAATTCGATAGCCAATGTATATGGTAACAATAGTAACCATCTATTCTTCAATAAATATAAGGTCTTCATGTGTAATCACTAATATATATCCTCTCTATAAAAGTGAAATATGGGTGAATTTCAGTAAACCCCCAATAAATTTTGGAATTTGACACTAAACCCCCTCCCTCCCCCCGACACCCCCCCAAAAAATTTCGTAGAAAGTTTCTAAATTAACATTATTATAATGTATGGTCAAATAACTAAAATACCCCAATAAATTTTGGAAGAAAAACCCTAATAAGGTTTTAATTTTGTCACTTAAGCCCTAGTAACTTTTGGTAGAAAATCCCTAACAATGGTTGTTTATTATTTTATGGTTCAATATAATTTTTGAATATTTGGAGGTCGTTTCTAATTTTCGGATTTGGAAAGGGTTTTTTTTGTAATTTTTGGTTTTTTTCATGAGCTACTTGTAATTTTCAAAAACTTAGGGTAGTTCTTTATATTTTCTAGAGTTTTTAGTAGCATGTTTGCAATTTAAGATTTTTACGGGATTTTTGTATTTTTAAGAGAACTGTTTGTTGTTTTTGTAATTTTTCAAGGAGTATATGTACTTTTTAGAATTTAAAGGGAGTGGTTATTAATTTTTAGATTTTTCAAAGGGGTCACTGAAACTTTTCGAATTTGAAGGGTTTTTTATAATTTAAAAATTTTTCAGGGTGTTGTTTATAGTTTCATATGCTTTAGAGGGCTATATGTAATTTTTTTTATTTTTAGGAATTATTTATGGTTTATTCTGCAAATAGGAATGACTCAAGAGGTATATATTGATCTTGAGGGATAATGTTCATTAGTGTATAATTATGGGTAATGACTTATGGGGTTAAGTGCAAAAAATCAAAACATTTTGGCAAATTTATGAAGTTTTGAAGCTTATAGGGTATTTCAAAATATTTGCGGGCTTAATGCTATACGACTAAACTTATTAGAGGTTTAGTATAATTTATCTTTTAAAAAATTAAAGAGACCACATGACAACTTTCTAAAATGTAAGATTTATAGTAAACCACCAATTGTTTCTTGGAAAAATTGCTTCAAGGCCCCAAAATTGAAAATATAATATGCAACAGCCCCCTGTACTTTTAAAGTTTGGTATAAACCCAAAATACACTCCAAAACTTCATTTTAGCCCCTCCAGCTCACTCAATCCTCAGAATCCCGAATTTACCCTTCCCGCCCACTCTGCTACAGCCATCGTGCGTTGGTAACGGTGCCGCCCACTCCGCTACTATCGAGGCGCTCTCTCTCTCTCCTCTCTCTCCCTCCCGCACTCTGTCTCTGGCTTACTCTCCGGCGAAAAACCAAAATCCGCTTCTAGGGTTAGGTCGAAACCAGTTCGCAGATGGAGAAAAAATCGGCGAACGAATACGAAGTGGTTCCCCATCCTCCGCCGCCGCTGCAACGTCAGGAACATGCACCAATGAACGACGAGCGAGAAGACTCATTGCATGAACTATCTTGTTCTTCCTTTGGCCCAACACAGCACCAACCGCATAATCACTTGCATCAGTCATGACTTCAAATGGGAGATTCCAGTCCGGCGGTTGCATAATAGGAGCTGTTATCAATGCTTCTTTCAACCTGCAAAAAGCATCAAGACATTCATCAGTGAAATCAAAGGTAGCATCTTTAAGAAGAAGGTTAGTTAAGGGTTTTGAAATTTTTGAGAAATCTTTGATGAAACGCCGATAGAAACCGGCATGTCCCAAGAAACTTCTTACTCCCCTAACCGACGTTGGTGGAGGCAATTTTTCAATGACTTCCACTTTTGATCGATCAACCTCAATTCCACGCTCAGACACCTTGTGCCCTAAAACTATTCCATCCCTTACCATAAAGTGGCATTTCTCCCAGTTTAGGACTAAATTAACTTCTTCGCAACGCTGCAAAACTCGAGACAAGTTAGATAAACAACCATCAAAAGTAGTTCCATACACGGAGAAGTCATCCATAAACACGTCCATAATATCCTCTATAAAATCAGAGAAAATGGCCATCATACATCGTTGAAAAGTGGCGGGGGCATTGCAAAGACCAAAAGGCATGCGCCTATAAGCAAAGGTCCCATAGGGACAGGTAAAAGTGGTCTTTTCCTGGTCACTAGGATGGATAGGAATTTGGAAAAATCCCGAATAGCCATCTAAATAACAAAAATATGAATGCCTAGCCAACCTTTCCAACATCTGGTCTATAAAGGGAAGTGGAAAATGATCTTTTCGGGTTGCCTTGTTCAATTTCCTATAATCAATACACATCCTCCAACCCGTAACCGTCCTAGTAGGGATAAGTTCGTTATTTGCATTCTTAACTACGGTCACACCTCCCTTTTTAGGAACCACATGAACCGGGCTAACCCATTCACTATCAGAAATAGGATAGATTACCCCAGAATCTAGTAGCTTAAGCACTTCCTTTTTAACCACTTCTTTCATGTTAGGATTTAATCTACGTTGGTGTTCTATAGAGGGTTTATGATCATCTTCCAAGAGAATTCTATGCATGCAAATTGATGGATTAATTCCCTTAATGTCGTTCATGGTGTATCCTATGACCTTGCGATGCATCCTAAGTGTTCTAAGCAACTTATCAGTTTCATTTTCATTCAGACATGCATTCACAATCACAGGATAAGTAAAATCAGGGCCAAGAAATTCATACCTTAAAGAGGAAGGGAGGGGTTTTAATTCTACCTTTGGTGCATTATCCTCTTCACAAATAGAACCTTTTGGCTCTAGCATCAATCTTTCAAGCTTTGCATTTCGAAGTGGAGCAGTTGATGTTGATTCTAAAGATTGAGCATACGCGGCTACCTCGGGGTCTTCATCATTTATTGAACCATCACTTACCAAACATTTCTCAAGTGGATCAGCTGAGTTATTGTTTGCAATTTGCTCATGTGTACACTTGTCAATGACGTCAACCCTGTAACAAATTTTATTAGTTAGAGGGAATTTCATAGTATTGCTTAAATCAAATTCCACCGTCTCCCCTCCAATATTTAGAGAGAGCCTTCCATTTTTAACATCGATTATAGCACCTGCAGTAGCAAGGAAGGGTCTTCCTAAAATAATTGGAATGTTAGAATCTTCTTCTATTTCCAAGATAACGAAATCGACCGGGATAAAGAACTTACCGACCTGGATAGGTACATCTTCAAGTATACCTACCGGATATTTTACCGATCGATCCGCCAGTTGGAGTGATATCGTGGTTGGCTTCAAATCTCCTATGCCAAGCTTCTTATAGATGGACATTGGCATCAAACTTACGCTTGCACCTAAATCACACAAAGCACGGTTAATAGAGACATTACCAATAACACAAGGAATAGAAAATGAACCTGGATCCTTAAGCTTAGGAGGCAGCTTATTCTGGATGATAGCACTACACTCCTCAGTAAGGGCCACAGTCTCGTATTCTTCCAACTTCCTTTTATTGGATAGGATCTCTTTCAAGAACTTAGCATATGAAGGCATTTGAGAGATAGCTTCAGTGAACGGGATATTGATGTGCAATTTTTTTAAAATCTCCAAGAATTTTCCGAACTGCTTTTCTAACTTAGCCTTAGCTAACCTTTGGGGAAATGGTAGAGGAGGCTTGTAAGGAGCGGGGGCCACATATTTTTCAACTTTTTCTTCTTCTTGTGTTTGAGTCTCATTATCCACATCTATCACATTTTCATTTTTTTCTTCATGATGACCATCCACCCCATCATTTTCCTTCATCTTGGGTCCCTCATATTGTTTTCCACTTCTAAGAGTTATAGCATTCACATGACTCCTGGGATTTGTCTCGGGTTGTCCAGGTAGCATGCC